GCGTGTGTGAGGGTTTCGGTGGTCCGCGGTGTGAGATAATGTTGGAGCTGGGCGACGTTGCAGAGGTGGGGGAAGGCAGAGCAGGTCATGGTGCAGATGTGGGATCGAAAGGATAGTTGATGGTGAACAGGAACCCAAGGTTGCAGACTGGCTTAGCATGGTGGTGTATGTAACCATGAAGGTGCAACCATGAATAGTATGGAGTCCTGTAGCTCTAATGATTAGAGCATTCGCTTCTCAAACGAGAGACCTGGGTTCAATTCCCGGCAGGGCGAAACCTTGGGCAAGTTTCCATACCCCACACGCCTAATAATAATCCCTCAAAAAATAAACAATAATAAATTGGTCACTTCAATCCACGACTGTTTGTGGGACACTGCTGTGCGCAATTTGGCTGCCGCATTTCGCCCACAGTCAATTCGCTTTACAGTATATTCTGCGAAGCGCTTTGAGACGTCTAGAAGACGTCTAAAGTTCTATGTCAAATGCAAGGGTTATTATTATTATTATTATTATGAATGGTGATGCTGTCAACGCCTGAGGTGAGAAGATGCTGATGGGAGCCAATCAGGAGAGCCTCGGTCCTGTTGACATTCAACTGAAGAAAGTTAGCTCTCATCCAGGACTTGATGTCTGACAGACATTCTGGATTATTATTATTAATGTGGGACAGACAGACAGAGGGAGACTGAGAGAGACTGATATCCTCCCACAGGAGTCCTCTCAGCTGAGTATAGATAAAGCCGAAATGTCTGTCTGTGTGTCTGTCTCTGTGTCGAACTGCATTCCATATTGGACCCTGTGGTTACAAGTGAAGCTGCAACGGTTACAACTATTTGTGAATAATAGACATGGAGGGAAACCACGAAGTAAACCAGGAAAGGGAAAACTTTTACAAGAGGAGAAGAAAAACATAAAAACAGAAAGTTGGACAAAAGGAGACATTTGGAAGGAGGATAAAAACCCAAGATCGTATTGGCTTAAAAGTGATAAAGGATAAAGGATAAAGTGATAAAGAAAGTCATGGGAAATACGCCAAAGAAGGACAGAGGAAGAAAAAGAAGAGCAGATCCGAATATTCTAGAAACATCAAGAACCACCAGGTCAGGAAGACGAGTAAAACCAACAAGGAGAATAATTAAATAAGACTGAGCCACAAAGAAAAAAATATGAAGAAACCAAAAAGGGAATAATAATAATAATAATAATAATCCTTGCATTTGATATAGCGCTTTTCACGTCGGGAGGATGTCCCAAAGCGCTTCACAGAACACACTGTAAAGTGAATTGATTGTATATTTGTGGGCGAACGCGGCAGCCAATTGCGCACAGCAATGTCCCACAAACAGTCGTAGATTGAAAATGACCAATTTTATTATTGTTTATTTTTTGGGGGGGGGATTATTATTAGGCGTGTGGAGTAAGGAAACTTGCCCAAGGTTTCGCCCCCTGCCTGGAATTGAACTCAGGTCTCTCGCTTGTAAAGTGAGTGCTCTAACCACTGAGCTACAGGACTCCACGTGATATTGGATACCCTTTAAGAAAATAAGGACCAATGAAAGGGGATCAGGAGATAGAAAGCAGGAAGCGTGGAGAACTGACCAGAGGGTTTTTGGTTGGATTGTTTGATTTGTAACTTGTGAACTGAGAATAAGATAGATTTCTACACATGGAGTGTTGTGAACACAACAGATTGTTTGTATGAGAGAAACTCCTTTCTCTTGTTGAATAGTGCCATGGGATTTTCAACATGCTTTCCCTTTCTCCTCAACTCAGTGTCAAACTCTGCCACAGTTAAGCACTCGGAGACACTACCCGGTGTAAAGGGAGCTATATAAATGCATATATAAATATATAAATTAATTTGATGTAGCTTTTCTGTGCAATGGGCAAAAGCAACACTGTACAGAATGATAAAAACAAGTGCTGCAAAAGCATATAGCAGCACCAGGTGGCAGCTGTTCAACTTGCACTTAAGGAAAGTACCACTTATTTCTAAATGGGCTTTCCTCTTGTCTGTGTTATTTTGGTGAAGGTAGAACTCCCCTGGCCAAAGAAGAGCACATTAAAAATGACATGAAAAAAGTTAGAAACCCTGGGCAAAAACTCAGCATGTACCGAATCTTAGGTGTAGAATAACTTTGAAGGTATATGATCGGTTATATGGAGACGAGTATTGGTAAAAAACTGAATTGCAACTCCCTCTCCATTCGTGTGTTACACAACTTAGTATTGTGTAAGGAGCACATTTAAGCAGCGCAAAGTTATGGAATTAGGTCATCAAGTGATTTATGTAAGGGTGAAGTAATAAAAAGCTCAAAGCGCTTCACAGAATTTACTGTAAAATGAATTGACTGTGGGGACGACATAAGGCGCTATATGAAATGCAAGGCTGATTATTATCAGCAGGAGTTGTTGTGTGAGCTGTAGGGCCTGGCAGGCAGGCAGGCAGGCAGGCAAGGCAGGAGCTAATGTGTAGAGCGGCCACTGAGTCAGAGTAGCGAGGGAGGGAGCGAGAATCAATCAAATAAGTGACGTGTGCACTGTGAAGGAGGGCGTAGGGAAATGAGGTAAGAGGCAGCAGCAGAAGCAGAGGGAAAGCAGCGAGCAGCAGGCAGGCAGGCAGGCAGGCAGGCAGGAGTGCGGGGGAAGAGGGGCGAGAAGGGGGTGTGTAGGGCAAGGAGGGTGTGTGGCAGCTGACCGTGGGGAGGGAGGTGTAGAGACTGCACACGGGCGTTGGGGGTGGGGCTGTCTGTTTATGGGGAGAAACATATGAAAGCTGAGGCGAGGAGCGGAGGCAGTTGTGGAGGGGACAGGGAGTGAGAGCCTTTATCGCTTCTCGGCCTTTTGGCTAAGATCAAGTGTAGTATCTGTTCTTATCAGTTTAATATCTGATACGTCCCCTATCTGGGGACCATATATTAAATTGATTTTTGGAGCAGGGAGATGGAATAGGGGCTTGCTCCGTCCACTCCACGCATCGACCTGGTATTGCAGTATCTCCAGGCACGGTGCACCTCCCTCGGGAGATTGCAAACAGTGACAAATAGACAAATCCTCACCCTCCCCACTGAGTGACAACTTTGTTGGGATTGTGTGTATGTTTGATCATAACCATCACTGCATTTGATGTAGCGCCTTAACACATTGTTGAGATGTCTCAAAGCGTTTCACTGATTGGATTGTAAAGTGAATCACCAGCTCTATCAAATGCAACAACAACAACAAAATTACATCTGTAAAGCGCCTTTCACATTCGGAGGACGTCCCAAGGCACGGTGTTACGGATCTGAGCTGAGGGTGGAGGGCAGGGAAATTGAAAGCACGGTTGAAGAGGAGGGTCTTGAGGGTGGCAAGGGAGGGGGCGAGAGGGAAGGACTGTGGGATGGAGTTCGAGACGATGGATGCAGAGTGGAGAAAGCCCACCTGTCGATAGTGGGGCAAGCAAGACGGGGACGTGAAGCAGGCCAGAGCCCGCTGAGTGGAGGGAGCGAACAAGGTTGTAGGGGTTTAGGAGGTCGCAGAGGTAGGGGGGAGCCAGACGGTGGAGGACTTTGAAGGTGAGGACCAAGATCTTGAACTGTATCCTCTGTGTGATGAGAAGCCAGTGGAGTTGGGCAAGGATGGGTGATAGGGTCGTGGAGCCTAGTGCGGAATAGGACACGGGCTGCAGAGTTTTGGATGATCTCCAGCCTGTGGAGGGAGGAGTTGGGGAGGCCGACAAGCAGTGAGTTTGCATAGTCGAGCCTTGAT